CCAATTGAAACACGTAACAAATTGTCGACGACAAATACGATTCAAAAGTATCACTTAAATAATTAAGGATTTCCATCATCAGACACGCTCACACAGAAACACACACACAGACACACAGACACACACACACACAGAAACACACTGCAAAGGAGGTCACAACAAAAAGCTCATAAAACACCATTATCGTTGCCACCACCACCACCACCCAAAAAAAAAGAAGAGGCTGAAGTATTGAAAAAACAAGAAGTAAGGAAAGAGAAAGAAATAGAGGAAAACCGCAAAAGTAGAGAATAAATTGTATTTAAAAAAAACATTTTTTTTCCCTTTTTTTTTGTTTTTTTTTTTGGCTTTAACCTCAATAGCAGTTAGTCCAATTATTTAGGCAGTTAAGGAAGCGGAAAAAAAAAATGATAAATTGGGTGTAAAAGAAACAAAATTGATGATGAAATACGATGTTAAATCATAGCCCTTCTTTATTTTTATTTATGCTTTTTAGTAATGCAAATTAACGTAAATTTAGAAGAAAAAAAAAGAGGCAGAAAGAAGAAACGAAGAAAAAAAAAAGAAATGCAAAATTTGTTGTTTTGATATCAGTTGTGCTGCTGCTGTTGCTCACCGTATCAACTAAGTTTACCTGTGCTTTCCAAACACTTTCTTCACGTTTTATTTTTCTAATCAACTTCAAAGATGAACAAATTTCCCACTGTCCCACGGCAATTTCAAAAGTAATCACCGTGAATTTTTGTCCCATTTGAACACCCAAATCATCCATGTAGTCCTTTTTGCTTGACAACATTTCCAAAAAACCAAAGTTTGTCACCGCTACCAGCAACAACAATACACCATTTTTACTCCTCGTCTAACCCGTTAATGAAAAAGAAGAGTAAAAAAATGCAAAAAAAAATTTTGTCTTTTTGTCATTTCCTAATCAGTGTTCTTTAAAAAACAGAAAAGGAAGAAAGAATGAGGAAAATAACAAAATGATATTGCAATCAACTGCTTTAGTAAATACTCTTAAATTTCCCTTTCTATCACCCACTTTCATCAAATAAACCGTAAGTAGCCTTAGAAAACAATTGCTACTGTCTCTAAAGGTCAAAAAAAAACTAAAAATAAAACACTAAATATCTGCCTCCTATTTTTTGCTAACAAAGGAAATTTTACTGAAGCTTTTTTCCCTCAATTACTTTAAGTATTTATTTTTTTTTACTGATTTATTCCTGTTAACGTTCATTTTTTTGAGTGTATTCGGATTTACCCCCATATGTATAAATGCTGTCAACAACTGTACATCACTTAAACAACTGCTAAGAATTTAAAAAGAAATCAAAAATAATAGATCAACTGCTTTAAATAATCACAAAAAAGAAAAAAACAAGATAAAATTTTTTTTCTAAAAAGCTTTAAGCTCCAGGAGTAGAAGATTTTTCGGCATCCGATTTCACACGTTTGTGCTTTGTTCGACGATTTTGAAACCAGACTTTTACCTAAAAAATTTGTTAGTCCAATTATCAGAACCATATCGGTTTACAAAATTGCAATTAAGGACATCAAACATTACAGGTGGAATAGCCGTCTGCCTCTAATTGGAAGACTAATGGTACAATATAAACAATGTAACTAAGCTGAAATTGCCATATTGATCTTTGCAGATCGAATTTAATCTGTGTCTGTTTTTCATTCATTATTGTTTTTACACGATTTACAGCCTTTTAGTGCTATTTATCCAACAAAAAATCCGCTCTCCTTGTCTCTTAACGACAAAACATTTTCAATGTACCAATGGTAATTTAAGCCTTTTCTAGCTTTCAAAAAAAATCTAAAGACTGAATAATATCCACCTAATCTTATAAGGTATCAAATTACCAGAGTATTCACAAATGAAGCAGCAAAGAAAAGACGCTTAAACTTGCCCGGACAGTGATCAGAAAAGAAACCGCTTTCAAAGTCGATTGTTCAATCAAGCAAAATTTTTTTCTTTTCTTGGGAATAAACACTGTTTACCTGAGTTTCTGTAAGCGACAGCCTCGTCGCCAGCTCCTTTCTTTCATTGCCGATAACGTAATGATTGACTTCAAACGCCTTCTCCAACTGTATCAACTGGTGTGGCGAAAATGCGGTACGGATCCGTTTGTTCTTCTGAAGCGGCTGGAGAAACAAACCTGCAGCAGTGTCGCCTAAAATACGTTCTCAAACGTTCCCTTCAACTACTGTCAACTAGAAGCTCTTCAAAAAAATTTCTCATTCCATTCTTTTTTTTTTTTTTTTTTTTTTTTTTTT